CTCATTCTAGAATTCTCTCTCTATCCTCAGTGGAGGGAATGAAAAATTGAAACATATTTGGTCCCAGTTCCATTACTACCAACCCTCTGGGGTAACCCTTGCCAGGTTAGCAAAATCTTTCACTCCAACAAAGTTGACAATTTTCTCTTCAACTATTTTCCCTACTAAGCTGTGGTGACACTTTTTGATACCTGTACCTACATCATCCAGCTCTAAAGCAGTCGCTTCTAACTCTTTTTCACACAGTGCAAACTTCTGCATAATATCTGCTAGCTCCTCCGCCATGGTATTCCAACAGAAATACACTAGTATACCGCACACGATTCTTAATCAGATGAATATAACTTTACTAGAGGGTATGAGGGGGAGGTGAAAACCACACACCCTTAGAGAGAAATAACAGCTAACTGGGTTTTTGAGCTAAAGTCAGCAACAAAGTTAAGAATATAAACTAGAAAAAACTACAACTACAAAGAAGCTCAATATGAAATTAAGCTTTCACCATACCTATCATAGCACTGACAAAGTCAAGTAGTGAATGTTAATGTTCTGGTGCACCAGTAAGCTTTTCCACATGATACTTAATGAAGCCAAAGGTCTTTCTGTTGCATAGATATTAATGTATATTGGAGTTGAACATATGCGCATTACAAGACCCAACACTTTAATTGCTTTTATAATTTTCTCCAGATTCATTGATAGAAGGTTTATGGTTGGCAAGGATTGGGAAATTCAGGTGTGAGTTTTTGAAAGTTTTTGAAAGTTTGAACTACCACACTTGGGAAGACAAGTGCAACTCTTAAGAGAGAGAAGTTTTTCCTAGTTTTTTTCGGACAATGTGCCTCATGAATTACTCAATATTCGATAAATCGTATTATTGCTCAATTTTTCTTGATTTGGTAAAAGTTCAAGAAAATTGAATAACTAGACATAAAATTCAGAAAGAGGAGGGATGTGATCAAATGAATACCGAGACTCTCAACATTAAATTAGGCTAAATATTTTAACTTCTTCATTTCCAATTTTTGTTTGACATTTATAAAACAGTTATTTTATTTTATGTTTTTCCATTCAGATATTTTTGTAAGTAGAAGGTTCTCGACTTCTCGTTCAACACGTTCTACCTACCAAAAATAAAAAAAAAAACTTTTAGACGGGTAATTAATAAACACAGCAAAAAGTCCACTGAACATGTGCAGTGGCCCACAACAATGAAATGTTCAGCCTAAGCTTCATGTTCCTAGCCCAGCCCATGTAAACAGACCTCCATAGTCCGTTCCAGCATTACCATTTAGCCCAAATCAAAATGACTCTCTCAAAGCCGAAAAGAATTAAGCACTACTCTATAAATACAGAAACTGTTCTTCAGTTACTTGAAAGAAAGAAAAATAGATTAAAAAATTACAAAAAAAGTTTAGCAACGATTCCCCGAAAATTTAAAAAAACACCGTTTCAATCTCCCGCCTTTTTCAAAAACCAAAAAATGGCAGCTGCAGAAGCAACAAAAGAAGAAGCATTTGAATTTCCAAATGCAGTTGAACGTGAAGTCGCCTCAGCTCTTCTCCTTCTCTCCGTCGCCATCACCACCCCGCCTCCTTCTCTCCCTCTCTCGCCGCCGCTGTACGAATCCGAATAATAATCTCAGAGCTTCAAATTTCATTTTATTTACCTGAATTTGAATTGAGTTTTCCGGAAAATCGTAATTGTTATTCTCATTGATTTGTGCAGTGAGAGAAGTTGTACTGGTAAGATGAAGAAGAATAAGTTGAGGTTTAAGCTTTCCAAGTCGCAGCAGTCGCATTGGACCTGTTCGTCTTCGTCTTCGTCGACGGTGACGACCAGCGAGAATGATGATCGGCGAGTGAAGGTGATCGCCGTGGTTTCCAAGTTTCACGACACGATGAAGCTGAAGGTGATCGTCTTATTAACTTTCCTAGCACGTTTCTGCTGAATTCTGGTTTCGCATGAATTTAGATTCAAACTGCGTCTTTGTACGAGCTTAGAAATATGATCACCTCTCAATATGTGTTCGTCAAATCTGGTTAAAAATGAGTAGACGTATGACGAAGCTAAAGTTTATGGAAGAATATTCTGCTTTATGATCCTAATTCTCTGAATTCAATGTGTTATCCGTTGTTCTTCGATATTGTTGAATTCGTTTTGAATATGATTTGAATTTGCATCTGGATTCATTTCGTTTCAATATAATTTGAATTTGCGTCGCGATTCATGTCAGTTCATATATTCAAAGTTCTAAAGCCATTGTTCGACTGAAGTTTGAATTTGGAATTGAACATTGGTCTATTATTGGTTTACAATGCATGCGACGATCGTCTTAAACTGTGAACTGCTATTTGTTTCGTTATTCTCGTGAACAGCGATGCTTGAATTATGGCTTGAATTATAATAGGTATCATTTTCGATATCATAATAGGTATCATTTACTTAGAAAAGAATTATAGAGCTTAAGAAAATTCGGTGGAGATTTCTACGTAGTTTTGCTCTGTTTCACCCTGTTTTCGAGCTTATTTGCGTTGTGACGAATGTACAGGTGGTTCGAAAGCGGCGATCGAAGAATTTGTCCATCTCCGACTGCCAGAAACGCAGCAGCTCAAGGAAGCAGGCGGCGAAGGTTGAATCATCGGCTTCTGTTTCAGCTTCGGCGTCGTCGTGCCTGTCCAGTGGCTCCAGCAGCGTAATTTCCAGTGCAGGAAGCAGCGGCAATGTGATCATGAACAGGCGCGGTGGTGGACGTGGAAGTTATCTGTTTGTTACTCCACCCGCTAAGGATCTGAAGAGGAAGCCGATCCTAGGCTCGACTCACATGCGGCGCCGAGCCGAAGCTATTCTGAAAGTTCTGTCATCTCACGGCCGCGCTTCCGAAGTTAAGATTCGTGAGTTGCTCGGCGACAGCCCCAGCACCAGCAAGGCCTTGAGAATGTGAGCCCAAACAATTCTCTCTCTCTCACACAGACACACACTTGACACGTATGAAGGTAGCAGCCACGTGGTCTAGTGGGACCTACTTGAACTATACCTCATATGTGGCCCGTTGTTTTGTGACCCGTCCCTAATTCAATTTGTTAAGGCAATCAGCGTGGTACTTCATGCATTGTTGGTTATACCTCTGACATGTTGCCTATTTAGTGACTCATTTTTTACAATTTATCTATGCTGGTATGGTATAAGAGATTGGTTTGAAGTAAAATTTTATTTAGTTAAGCCATTACGCATTACTAGTTGTTGTGCCTTCTCTCTGAATCGGGCTATCAATCGCATAGCTACTTGCGAGCTGGTTTTGTTTCGTACAGTTTACTCGGTAATCTGGTTTGTTGTTTTAACAGTCTAAGAATTTGATTTAATTAAGCTTGACTTTGGAAGGCTAATAATGGTATAATTAATTTCAGGATAATCTAATGAAGTTCAGTTTTGCAGATTGCTGAATCTAGAGCAGGTTAAGAGGTCTGGAGCAGGAGGCCGTACTGATCCCTATGTTTATATGGTAAATATTGCACCTTAGTATGCTACCATTCTTAAGTTTTTGGACATCTTGGACTGGTTAAATGATTGTTTCGCTTACCTTTGTTTGCAGATTGCATGAGATCTTATTTAGTAGAAAGCTCTGTAGATTTATGGCTGGACCAAATTGACATACTTGGTAAAAGAAAGAAGGCAATAATGTTGGCTTGATAAAAGGGTTTAACTGTAAATTTGATTATATTTTCCCCAGCAAGTACAGGATTACACTAGGAATACTTAATACGGCCTAGGAATTTGATGGCCAATTTTGTCTAGATTCTACAAACATGAGCCAAAAAAGGGCCAAAGTATATACATATATATATGTATGTATTGTTCTTGAAACTTCTATGCTTATGGTAGGTAATACAGCAGTAGTTATTATTGAAACCAAGCTGGAGGTTTCTTGTCCCGCTATTTTTTGCTTCTGAATTACTACACTTCATATGTTGTCACTGATAAATGAAGGACCTGATAATTTGTGCTTCAAAGATTGACTGTTCATAGGTAGCTTTTTACCTGAAAGGATTCGCAAGTAGTAGAAGTTTTATATATTGTAAACATGATGGCTAGTAGGGTACTCCATTGAAAAAAAAATGTTGCTGGTTGATTGAGACCAGAGGAACAGATTATGCTAATAGAAATTTTTGGATGGTAAGATCTTTAACTATAACGGTTAGACTATGGCGGTGGGATTTGTCATTGCTGAGATCTTGAACTGCTCCAAAGATTTCAAAATTTGTAACATGGAATTTTGAAAAGACTGGCAAAACAAGAGTTGTATTGGAAGTGATTCAAAAGAAAAAATTATTATTGCACTGCATAAGCTTATTAGAATTGTATTCCCCTGGTTTAGTTTGACCACAATAATTATGGCACCGGCTACTCGACATGTAGAAAAGCTCTCCACTAACACCAAAGTCTAAATCTAATCTTTAGGAAGCATGAAAATGCAAGTTCGTGTGTGAGCCATCCAATTTCATGTAAATATCCCCCAACCGATCAACTAAAAGTTTCTGGCTTTAACAAGCGCTAACAGCCAATTCAGTACAGTTTCTTTCTTGAGGGGGTCAGTTGCCTAATGTAATATATTGGTATTATTTCGCAGTATTAAATTCAGCCGACAGCTCATGATAGAGTGTATGATAGCTTAATAGTACTAGTGCATTACCCAGTAATGTCAACTGTCAAGCGATGCGCCAAAGGATGGTGTGTGTGTGGGATTGAGAGTTATTTGAAATTTTTTTAAATTGTATATGTTTTCTAATTATTTTTATTTGTATAATCATATTTTTTTCTCTCATACATCATACTACAAAGAGTAATCCAGTATTATTTTATAAACAAAATCAAATAATCTTCAATTCAAAAAGAGATTGGGCTTTATGTTTCTAATTTGGGGGTACTTTAATCCGAAAAATGGTTTTACATGTTAACTGTACATGTAACTTTTAATATATATATATATATATATAGGACAGTGCTACAGTGCCTATAGTTATGGTAACGATATTAGGGAAACCTGCTATTATAGGTTTCTATTACCTTTAGTGACAGATCAAATCTTTTAGTGACTTTTTAAATATTATATTAAAATAATTAATATTAACTTTAGTAAGTTTTTAATTAAAACTAGTAAGTATATGCCTGAAAGATAAGATTTAGTCAGAAATAGAAATTTACACTTTGAGTAATTTAATTTACTTATTATTTGACAAAATTTACTTATGTTTAAATTAAACTTACCAATACTGAAAGTAAAAAATGTACATATTTAAGTAAAAAAACGGTTTTGGGTATCACCTTTCTTTTTAAAGTTATCTACCTTCTTCTTATTCAGTTCCCAGTTCCAATGATACGATTGAATTCCCAGGCAAAGGTTTCCACTTTGATCCACACTTTCTCTTTGTTACAATTGAATAAATCTTCTCACTTCAAAATTTTCATCTTTAGTTCACACTTTGCTTCTATCCTTTCTCATCGTTCGGTTGGGTTTGAGTGCTGCCATATGCAAACACAACAAAAGGGTTAGCGACGGTGGTAGCCAGCCAAAGAGCATATGAAAAATAGCAGTGACGAGGTTAGATCATCATGTTCTCTTGAAATCGTTTGATTATATTGCTGTAATTTATTTATATTTCATTTGTTTTGTTTGTCAAGATTTTCTTGGGAAATCAAGGCTGAGAATTTGAAGATTTTATTGCAATTTTGGGGCCGAAAATGTCCGTTGAAACATCTAGGAAATGGTTGTAGTTTTGATTGTCTACGGGTAAAATATGTTTAATAGCCATGTGAAACATCTAGGAAAGGACTTGAGACCAGGCGTTTAAGTTAAATGTGATTAATTTGTGAATGCATATAAGATGTTTGGTGAAATGTCAAAGAGAAATTTGTATGTTGTGATTGCTACTCTGTGCGGGTGAGAATTACTAATATATTAGTAACTCAACATGAGCTTTATAACTTGAATTCTTCAGGCAAGAGAGGTTTCTCCCGTTTTGGAATTCTAAGTTGATACGCTTGATGGAGCATATGTTATTGAACTGAACTGATCTAGAATCATTGTTGCGAATCTGTTGTTTCTATGGAAATTTATTATCAGCCTCTTGAATTTTTTACTCCATTGTAACGTCTGCAATGCCACGGAAATTTGGCCATTATTACTCTTGTAAATCTGTGTTGCAGAAGCAATTCTTATTACCATCCTATGATACATGTAGATTTTGTAGAATCACATCTTCCCTCTTCTTCAGTCAGGAAAGGAGAGAAAATTCATAGAACAGTTTCCGACCATCAATCAATTATGGTGTTATACATACTTCATATTTTTGCATTTTTTGTTTATTTTTCTTTTGAATGGTGTTGCATGGGGCAAACCTGCGGAATCCAGTGGTCTTTGAGCAAAGGATTGTCAAATGCTGGTTGTTGATACATATAGACACAATCAATTATATCACCGTCTTTGCTCTGTCATGAGAAAAAATTTTGAATTTCATTGTAAAGAGCCAAAGACATTCAACATAATCTAATCTACCTACCCGCAAATTTGTGACCTTCATTGAACTAAGGATTAGATTATGCTGGTTGTTTCGATATTTTGGACATGTGAATAACTCATCTTCCTCCTAAAAAATTACTAATACGTAACCCTTACCGGGAGAGTCAAAATAGCTTGTTAATGCCATTGCTATATCATAACGATTAGACTGGAACATAAATCTGTTGAATGGGTTGATTGGAACAAAATTCAGATGAATGGTTTATATAAGAATTGAGGTTTTCAATTAGTTTGATGATGGTTTGTAATATAGAGAGAATGGAGTTCTAATCATAAAATACCTAGAAAAGAAACGGGTTGCCAAGTCGAGAAGATAAGTAAGTTTTTAATTCAAACTAGTAAGTATATGCCTGAAAGATAAGTTTTAGTCAGAAATAGAAATTTACACTTTGAGTAATTTAATTTACTTATTATTTGACAAAATTTACTTATGTTTAAACTAAACTTACTAATACTAAAAGTAAAAAATTTACATATTTAAGTGAAAAAATCACCGGGTTTCTAAAAATGATTTTGGGTTGCTGAAAACGGTTTTGGGTTCCTGAAACACTTTCGGGTATCACCTATCTCTTTAAAGTCATCTGTCTTCTTCTTATTTAGTTCTCAATTCCAACGATACGATTGAATTCCCAGGCAAAGGTTTCCACTTTGGTCCATACTTTCTCTTGGTCCAATTGTTGTTGCTACAAAGGGACAAAAGGCAAAACAGTCCACTCACAAGCGAAAGCGAAGACGATGCAAAAATTGCAAGTAATCACCTACTCTTAAAATTGACTTATTCTACGGTTAGAATAGCTTTGCAAAACCAGATATGAATGAGCAATGCTAAATTTCATCCACTCATTGGCTTTATGTTAGAAGGCCAAAAATGTTAGTTATATATGTACACTTCATATACGCCTTTATAAATTCAATCTTATTGTTTATGGATTGTGCTTGGCAATTTTTTTCCCGCAGGTCATTTGGACATGATAGACGAAAATGTACTAAAGTGTGCACAGATGCATATGAAACTCACAATTATGATCATGTTGGGGCACCCAATAATGTTGAGAATGTAAATTTGAATCTGATAGGATCATCCGATGGCCTATTGCAATCAGATTCACAGCATGGATGCAATAAGGAATTAATGGATAGTAATTGGTTTCAGATCATTCCTCCTGGTCAGGTAATGTATAGCTTGCTTTTATTTATTTTTGTGTGAAGGCATGAAATATAATGGTGCTCTATTTGCATTTGTATAGGCATTAATGTGGGCATGCAATCCTTCATTAATCCAAAGTCATGTACAAAACACTAGCTTGTTAGGAGATGAAAAGTATTCAGGTACATTTTTCCTTCTTCACGCCTAAGTTTTATGTTATTTATTTGCTATGATTACGTGTTGTTGTGGCCTTTTTTTAATACAAATCTTGTGATGGTTTTGTAGTGAATGAACCAGATTTCAGCCAAGACCATTAAGGAATTTTATTCTTGAGAGAGTACAAATGTTTTTGCACGTCTTTGCTCAAAGCTTTTAGGATGATTTAAGTTTCTTCGAAGGTAGTTTAATGCGTTTTGATTTTAAATCTGAACATAATCTCCTTAGTTTGCAATTTCTGGTGTTTACTTGTTTTAATGTGAATAATTTCAGCTTGCTTGGAAAAAAGTTTGGTGATCAAATTTCAGATATTGTTAGCATCCAAGTGCTCTTGGGTTTGTAAACCAGAAATGTCAATCCAAACTGAAGCTTTTGATAGTGATATCAGAGCCCTTGATGCTGGTGATCAAATTCTCAAATCAAGTTACTAGCCTTTTGATTGCTTCAGATTTCTGAAGCCAAAGTCTTTGTGCTCTAAATTCAGTTCTTGGCCATGTAATCTTGTCATGCTTAGATAGTTATATCTAGTGTCCTGCCAGCTTAATTTTGATGCGTAAGTATCAATTATTAAAAGTTAGATTCATTCTGATGCTCAAAATGAGCCGTTTTCTCCTATTTTGAAATTCCAATTTCATATCAAATGTCTTGTGCATGTAGATTTTGCTGTTTACTTCAAATTGGACTGGCTTACTTGATGAGCAGAACTCGAAAAGCAACTCAAATACTCATGTTATACAATACTCAGCACACGGTTTTTTAGGCTTTAAAACGTCATTAATGAAAGTTACCCATTCGGTTGTTTAGGAATGTTAGGAGATTCGTCAAATTCAAATGACGATGCCTGAAACTTGTACTTATCCCCAAATTTGTGTTGTAGTACAGTATCAAGATCTTGCACCTATTCCATTCACCTATAAAAATTATGATTATCATAAAATGACATTTTATAATAATTTACATACTATTTGCCAATTAAAAGCAAGTTTCATAAAAAATGTGCATGTAAATCCATATTGTGAATGATACGAAATATATTTGAAACTCACGAAACTTAATATATGGGTAAATTTACTATAATTTTAAAAGATTACGCTACATTAGATACGATCACTTTACCTTTTATACTTGTGACCTAGAAAATAAATTTATTAAAACACATAACATTTATAAATGATGCATACATTTATTAAAATGCTTAAAACGCAAAACATTTATGAATGAAACATACAATCATTATTATACATTTATGTTACCAACAACTACTAACTATAATATTAAGTTTCAACCATTAATAAAAAAATCTTAGCACTAGTTTAAATAAACTTCTTAATACTTGTTTCATATAAGTTTCTTTAAGTAATATAGTAAATTTATGCCACAAACTAGTAAGTTTTGATGATTAACCAAATTATTATTCTTTCAACAAGATTTACTATTAATCTATAAAAACTTACTATTACTTGAACTAAACTTACTCCCCACAAAACTAAGTTTCGAATGTAGAGTAGTAATTTAATTTTTAAAAAAAGTAACTTTCATTTTTATTTCGATTTACTTTTTGAAACATAAATAGGATAACACTTATATGACCATTTTCGATTTATTTTTTATTTACTTTTAGCGGCCATTTGATTATTTGATAGGCCTATCCACCTAAATAGGATAACACTTAAAAATAAGAAAGTAAGTTTTCCATCTAAAATAGTAAGTTAACAGTAATAAATTAGTAACTTTTATACTTCAAAATGTAAATTGGAATAAATATTAAACTTACTTTTTAAATAAATAAATTACTACTTTATATCCCAAACTTACTTTTTATAGTGTAAGTTTAATTCATGTAATAGTAAGTTTTAATACATAAATAGTAATTCTTACTGATAACATGGTAAAATTGATTAATAATCAAAATTTACTGATTTATGAGACACATGTACTATTTTACTTTAAAACATATTTCAAACTAGTGTTAGGGAATTTATTTGAAATAACGATAAGATGTTTTATTAATGATTAATTTTTAGTACCTTAGTTAGTAAGTACTCATAATATACCTGTATAATACAAGATTATAGTTAACATTTAAAAAAATTTATTTACATATTTTAAAATACTATGGAAAAAAGTTTGACTTTTCACATAATCTCGTAAAATATGTAATAAAATTTTGTCGTATTATAAGTTTTTAATTATTTTCAATTTTTGAAAAGTTTGAAAGTTTGGATAATAATAACAACAAATCTTCCTAGTTATATATAGAATATTACTTGTTTATATATCAAAATTTTTATAAATTAACACCTATGAATATAATAAGATGATAAAGTTTTAATAAATTTACATCTGAGACACAAGAAATAATAAGAGTAAAAGCCTAAACAAAATGAGAAATAATATAATAACAAAAATTATAAATTTAGTATAACAATTAATATAAGAAAATTAAATTAAATTTAGAAGGTAAATTAAATAACAATGTCAAGGTTAGAGGTCATGGTAAATGTTACAAATTTTAGGAGAAATTATGTACTGTAAAAATGGTTTAATAATTTTCTATTAAGCATAACTATTGCATACAAAAGGAAAAGATATTTGATTTTATTTTGCTTTGATTAGAAGAACTTGTACTAGTAATAAAAGAAATTTCAATTCAACAATCAACGTGTACATGATTACAGTAATTTTTTAGTCATTTAGACTAATATGTGTCATAAAGTAGTCAGATTTAGTCGTTTGTGAATTCATAATTTTAACAGTTTACATAAAATTCATCTATTAAAAATTATGATTATTATAAAATGCCCTTTTATAATAATTTACTTACCATTTGCCAATAAAAAAAGAGTTTGATAGAAAACATATGGATACAAATCCATAATGTAAATGATACAAAGTATGTTTGAAAGTCACAAAACTTAACATATGGGTAATTTTACTATAATTTTCAAAGATTATTCTATGTTAATACAACTTTAATTTTTATACTTGTGACCCAGAAAATAAATTTATTAAGATTTTACCATTTTATTAAATTCATAGGCATTAATATATGAAAATTGCGTACCATTTTATTATATTCATCGGTGTCCATATATGGAAATTGTGATGTATAGATAAGTGCAATTCTATATATAACTCAAAAGATTTTTTTTTACTGTCATCCAAACTTTTTAACCTTTTACAAATTCAAAAATAATTCAAAATTTATAATATGACAAATTATTCTTACATATTTTATAAGGTCATATGCAAAAAAAAAGTTTTCATAGTTTATTTAAAATGCTTAAAACATATAACATTTATAAATGATACGTACAATTGTGTATCATACATTTACATTACGAGTAATTACTAACTATAATACTAAGTTTCAATTATTAATAAAAAATCTTAGCATTATTTCAAATAAACTTCCTAATACTTGTTCCATATAAGTTTCTTTAAGTAAAATAGTAAATTTATGCCATAAACTAGTAAGTTTTGATGATTAACCCAAATTTACTATTCTATCAACAATATTTACTATTAGTCTATAAAAACTTACTATTATTTGAACTAAACTTACTCTCCAAAAAGTAAGTTTTAGATATAGAGTAGTTATCTACTTCAAAAAAAAAATAAGTTCCATATTTCTTCAAATTTACTTTTTGAGACATAAAAGTTACTAATTTCTTGAGTTAACTTACTATTTTTAATGTAAAACTTACTAACCATATTTTTAGGTACTATTTTATTTAGATGACCAGTATAACAGGTAATCAAATGGTCGCTAAAAGTGTTTTTACCTGTTATATCAGGTAAAAACAGTTTCGTTATCATAACGCTCGTTACTTCAGACTTTTCCTATATATATATATATATATATTCCGGCCTAGACAAAAAATAAAAAGAAGAAGAAGAAAGGCATAATAGTCTCTGTACTCTGTAGTGTTCTTGGTTTTTCTTTTGTTTGGATTGAAATGATTTCAAATAAAATTATTTACTTCACAAATTTCAATCACCTTTTTATTTTTTCAATTACTTTTTTATCTCATATACATCACATCACACAAAGTACTACAATCATTATTTCAAACAAATCATTCAAATAAACTCCTATCCAAACAAACTTTAGTCACGTTTGAACATTATTCACGTTTTCCTTTTTGGAACAATTTTAACTAGTACTTGATGGTGGGTGGATCCTTCGAATCTTTCACGGGAAGAAGTAAGAAGTCATTCATGTTCCACGGTCGTCTGACTGTCTCTAGGTGTTTCAGAAAAGGCGAATACAGGCATAGTTGTCAACCGTTTCAGTTTTGAGGTCATCTATTCCAACTGGACTGGTCTCACTTGGAAAGCGCCTGAGCCAGATTTACAAGTCAAATGTGTGAAAGGAATGAATGACTGAAAAAGCTCGTAAAGAAAGAACTGGGCAGAAAGCTGAGATGGTTATTTTATTTATGGGTTGGGGATGACTTGTGAGTTGTCTTTTTCTATGAACCACTAGAAGTCTTCCTCTTACCACATATTGGGATCTTCTTTAAAAGGGTCTCAAGTCTCAACTCCTATCTCAGTTAATCCCGATTGTTCACAATTTGATCAAACAAAATTGTAGGTAGAAAACACAGCATCACATACTATATTGTTTTCTCAAGGGGAGGAAGAAAGGCACTAATGGGGAAGTATTTGGAGATGTTGGATGTAGGGGTGAGAATAGTAGCCAGGTTTCATTCTCACTGTCCTCAGACTGCCCGGATGTACTACCATCCGCCCTCCAACACGGAGGAGCAAAACCATCGCCACCACCCTCTGTTCCACCATATTCATGGGGTCGATAGCAGCAGAAGCAGCAACATGGCAAGTCATGGTAGAACCTCTATGGCCAGCTGTGGTTTCGAGACTTTCATGGATTTTGATACGGGTGATTTCAATTCTTTATTCATTGACCAAGATACGTACAGAGCAATGAACTAAGAAATTCTGATTATCAATGGGTTCAAGATAGTGATTAGTTCCTTTGCATTATTACTGATCTTATACTCTGAACGATCTAGGTGTCATTCTTAATCTCATAGGTAACATTCAGGAAGCCTCTTTGTTTCAGTTTATTCTTCAAGACTAATGGAAACAGTTGCGGAGAAAAATTTTGGTCATGTGAAAAGAATATCAAAGAAGAAAAATAGTGTGTCTGGTCGATCTGATTGAAGCAATGAAAGTGGCCTTGTAGTTTTATATTATTGTGTAGTGTATGTTGCATTTCTTTGGATAGTTTTTATTTGTCAAAGAATCAACCTCTTCGCATCACAAAACATATTTTTCAATGTATCATAATCACTTTTTTATTTTACATACATCACATTATAAAAAAGTATTACAGTAATTATTTTAAATAGTCTAATATCCAAACACACAATATGCTTTTGCCATAGCAATGGGCCACCAAAAATTTCCACATAATGTCGTAATTTTGGGCGTAATAAGCAGTACAATGATTATTGGTTAAATTGATTTGATTTCTAACAGGAAAGAAAGAATAGGAGGTAAACAATTGACTTGAAATTATCACATCTTTAACTAAAGAAGCAATTTCTTCATCACTTTTTGATTAGTTTCCGAAGG